ATGACACATTCTGAGGCCGCCCCCTGCACGGCGGAGACCAACGCTAATTGGATTGACAGCCTGCTCCGCGACTGGAGGGCGGGGCGTAAGAAGAGGCCGCGGAACGGGCCAAGGAGGCGGAACTTCGGGACAAGAAGGCCAATGGGTGAGGAGATTACCCTTCTCAGGGCTCTGCAGATTCGCCAGACGCCTTATACTTCCGCCCTCGAAGGGGCGGCTGTGGGGGACGGGCAGAGGGCGACAACCTGTAAAGAAGGAAGGAGAAAGAGGAGCTGTCAGTCAGTTGCGCTGCGATAGGCGGAGTGTTGCCTGCTGCAGAGCGGGGCTGGGCGAGTCGGTGGACCGTGGGGTGTCCACTTCTGCACCTCGGGCTGCTGCAACCGCTCTCTGGGAGCCCATCTCTGGAATTTTGGCTTGTCTGAACCTATTATCCATAAGGGAAGGGACTCTCAAGGCTCGTCCCATTTAACACTGAGGCCCAGAGAGATTGAACGGCTTGCCCAAGACTACATAGCTCAGAAGGAGAAAACTGTAGAATTACTATTTTAGTTTAAAAGCATTTCCAATATAGGTTGGGTTTTTTTTTTTCCCTACGCTGAATCCCAGTGCCCTGATCGTCAGATCAAAATTGCTTTCTCCATCAGTTTTGGAAACTACCCAGGCAAACACCAATTGCAGCCACAGCTAAGGACTAGCAAGGAAGGCAAAGCTGCCCGATCGCAACACTTGGGGCTATTGAGAAGATTGGGACAAAGGAAATTGGAAGGGTCCATTTCTATCATCACCACGAACAAAATGCTACCCCAGATAGGCTTTTATAATCTCCAACAAGCCCAGAATGGGTCTAGGAGGTATGTCCTGGGACCTAGGAAAGGGCAATGCTCAGTCCTGGGGAATAGGAGGCAGTTTTCTATGAGTTCAAGGCCAGCTTGAACTCTATATGTAGCGAGTTCCAGAACTGCCAAGGCTACATGGAAAGTACCTATCTCAAAAAAAAAAAAAAAGAAAGAAAGAAAGGAAGAAAGAAAGAAAGAAAGAAAGGAAAAGAAAAGAAAAGGAAGGAAGGGAGGAAGGGAGAGAGAGGAGGGGAGGCTAAGGATGTAGCCTTGAATCCCCCAGTGAGGAACTGGGAATGTATCTCAGGGGGAGAGCCTCTGCCTAGAATTCCCCAGTGAGGTCCTAGGGGCACATTTCAGTGGTGGAGCACTTGCCTAACACGCCCAAGTGCTTGGTTCAATCCTCAGTATTGCAAAAAAGAAAAAAATCAGACCTTCTGTTTTCTGGGGAGCTTCTAAGTATTAAAGGCATCCATAAGATACTTAGAGATACAGATTAGCACTGGCAGGAGCAAGTGGAGCTACTGAGTTCTGGGTATAAAGAAAGGCCTTCCTGATCACAGGGTCCCTCAAGGAGAGAAGGAACAGCCAATGCTCTCAACTGTTAAACCATCTTTCCAGACCCACAAATAAAAAATTTAAAACCCAGAAAACTCTAGGTATGATGGCACACACCGTTAAACTCAGCAGTTTGGAGGCAAAGACAGGGATATCTCTGTGAATTTGAGGGCAGCCAGAGTGTTCTGACACCCTCACACAGACATATATATAGGCAAAGCACCAATTCACATAATTAAAAAAAAATCAAGGGGGCTGGAGAGATAGCAGTTAAGAACACAGGCTGCTCTTCCAGAAGACCTGGGTTCAGTTCCGAGAACCCACATAGTAGTAGCTCACAACTGTCTGTAACTCCAGTTGCAGGAATCCAACACCCTCACACTGAACAAATGCAGGCAAGACACCAGTGCACATTAAAAATAAATAAATAAATAAAAAAGATAAAAGAGTCAGGTAGGCTGAGTTGGCCAGCTTAATTTTAGAAACATGGAAATAAAAGCTTACTTCTGTTTTTGTTTTGTTTTATTTGTTTGTTTTTAAATCAAGCAAAGGGGCAGGAGAGATGGTCCTCTTGTAAGGAGCACTGACTGCTCTTCCACACTATCGGGGTTCAATTTCCGGAACCCACACAGCAGCTAACAACTGTCTGCAACTCTAGTCCCAAGGTATCTGACATCTCTATCCTCCCTAGGCACTAGGCACACATGCCACACACAGACTTACATACAGGAGAAACACCACATACATGACATAAGTAAGTTAAATTGAAAAACTAGGTGTAACAAGGACCACCCACACACTGCATAACCCTGACTGCTCAGATTTTATCATCCCAAAGTCTTTGTCCCACTTGGCTTCAAACTATGAGAGCGCTTGAGGGTGACCTAAACTCACAATCTTCCTGCCTCCATCTCCCAGTGCGGAGCTGGAGCCCAGAGCATCCTGAGAGTGCCTCAGGAGGCTTTCTATCAAGGGAGCTGTAGCTCCAGCCTCTCTGAAACATCTGAGGTTTATTAATTTTTGATATTGGCTTTGTTTGTTTGTGTTTGTTTGTTTGTTTGAGACAGGGTTTCTCTGTGTAGCTTTGGAGCCTATCCTGGCACGAGCTCTGGAGACCAGGCTGTCCTCGAACTCAGAGATCGGCCTGCCTCTGCCTCCAGAGTGCTGGGATTAATTGAGACCTGATCTTATGTACCTTAGACAAGATCCAGATTGCTATGTCCAAAAGGCTGGCCTTAAACTCTTTTGTTGTTGCTGTTTGGGTTTAGTTTGCTTTTTCTACACAGCATTTCTCTGTGTAGCCCTGGCTGACCTGGAACTCATGCTATAGGCTAGATTGGCCTCAAACTCAGATCAGCCTGTCTCTGCCTCCAGATTGCAGGGATTAAAATCATGCAGCAACACAGCACAGCTATTTTTTTGAGATTTTTTTTTATCATTTCTGGTTCATTTATGAGTGTTTTGAATACATGTGTCTGTGAACCACCTGTGTGCCTGGTGGCCTTAGAGACCAGAACAGATCCTAAAATACTATAGGACTGCAGTTATGGATGATTTTGAGGCACCATGTGTGCCTGGGAATTGAACCTCTGGGCTTCTAGAAGAACAGCCAGTGCTCTTCACTATGGAGTCATGTCTCCAGATCCCTAGATTCTTTCTGTTTTTCTAGACAGGGTTTCTCCTGTAACAGCCCTGGGTATTTTGGAACTCACTTTGTAGACCAGGCTGGCCTCAAACTCAGAGATCTGCCTGCCTCTGCCTCTCGAGTGCTGGGATTAATTGAGACCTGATCTTATGTACCTTAGACAAGACCCAGATTGCTATGTCCAAAAGGCCAGCCACCATCGCCTGGCTTGGGTTCTGCTTTAACAGGTAAATTCACACCCAGTACGAAGCCTAAATCCCCAAACACATGTTGAGAAGTGGTGACATAGGCCATGACTTCCCTGGACTCTCCCTGTGGCACTTCTAATGCTGGCATCTTTTTGTTTGGGTGTTTCTCTTGCCAACTCTGTGTCCCAGACCGCCAAAGAACACCAAGTCCCCCAGGAAAGGATTAGAAACGATCCTGTTATGTCTCTCAGGTCTCAGGCAGGGAGGGCATGAAGCAAGATAGATGACCTGAGACCGGATCCCAGAGCCGGCTGCAGGGTTAGGGCCCAGCCCACTGTGTGCTCCAGACTGCAAAGACGAAGTTGTAGAACCAGAACCAGGGCCGGCATAGTCCACTGAGGTCTGCAGGGGACACCTGAGCCAGCAGCTGTTCTCCCTCACGCCCCTCCCTGTGACCTGGTGGTTAGGCCCTTTGTGACCCAGGCCAGGATCTGGGGGCCCCTGAGAGCCAGGGGGCGGGCAGAGTAGATGGTGAGTCTCCCCCTGGGAGCGCCCCCCCCGCGCCATGGCAAGCGTGGTGGTGAAGACAATCTGGCAGTCCAAAGAGATCCATGAGGCGGGAGACCCACCTGAGGGGGTCGAGAGCCGCGCCCAGCTGGTCCCCGAGGCTCCCGGGGGGGTGACCAGCCCTATCAAGGGGATCACGAAGAAAAAGAAGGCCGTGTCCTTCCATGGGTGGGTTTCCTGCACCCTGTTGCTCCCAGGCCTAGTGCCTGTCACGACACTGCCTGCAGCAAAGCATGGGTGCTGAAGGCAAAGGAGGGGCAAGAAGAGGGTATTACAGACCAGGGAGGAGAAGGCAGTGGGTTGAAGGGAGCATCGGGAGGAGAGGGGGAGTAATGGAAGAACGCAGGCATGGGGGCTGAGCAGAGAGTCCAGCAGGGTGACAGTAGGCGAAGGAACAGGAGGTCCGGTGGCCTCAAGAGAGTTCAGGTGCTGTGTTGACGATATAAGGCCCACCCCTCTGGCACCCCATCCCTACCATCTCCTGGGTCACCTGCAGGGTGGAGCCCCGGATGTCCCACCAGCCGATGCACTGGTGCCTGAACCTCAAGCGGTCCTCAGCCTGCACCAACGTGTCCTTGCTCAACCTGGCTGCTATGGAGCCCGACTCCTCAGGCACAGACTCCACCACTGAGGACAGTGGTCCACTGGCACTTCCAGGGCCACCTGTTTCTCCTACAACACCCTGGGCTCCAGAAGACCCTGACATCACAGAACTACTGGTGAGCAGCTGATGTGGGGAGGACCAGGGTCTACTCAATGGAGGTAGGCAGATCCAAGGAGGGGGCTCATCTAGTTTGCAATGAGAAGTTGTAGTTGCCGGGTGGTGGTGCACGGCTTTAGTCCCAGCACTCGGGAGGCAGAGGCAAGTGGATCTCTGTGAGTTTGAGACCAGCCTGGTCTACAAGAGCTAGTTCCAGGACAGCCTCCAAAGCCACAGAGAAACCCTGCCTTGAAAAACAAAACAAAACAAAACAAAACAAAAAATAAAAAATAAAAAAAAGAAGTTCTTGTCACTGGAACTAGAAGACAGGCCACAATGATAACATCAGGAAAAGTTTCCTCGGGTAGGAGTATAGCTCCTTGACTAGCAAGTGCAAAGAAAGCTCTGGGGTTCATCCTAAGCAACACAAAGAATACACTGGGCCATGCCCCAGCCCCTCACAGGGAGGATTCTACACAGAGCTGTGCCCTTGATCCATACCCTAGCAACTGTACTTTTTGAGACAGGGTCTCACTCCTTAGTCAAATCTGGCCTTGAGTCTGCAGTCCTCCTGCCTTCCAAGTAGCTGGGTTGAGAGGCCTGAGCTCCTACACACAGCTTTTAGTAAATATTCCCCTGAAAGATGTCAGGAGTAGGAGACAAAGACACAAGGACAACCCATCATCCTCAGCAGCTTCAAGCATTATTTTTGTTGTTGATATTGATTTTTGAGACAGATCTCACTGACTTCTGGCCTGGAACTCTCACAGAGATCCTCCTTCCTCTGCCACTTGTGAGAATTAAAGACATGTAACACCACACCCAGACTGAGGCATTACCTTAATCTCCCAGGGAGCCTGGACTCAGGCCACCCCAGTGCCTAACTGGCTCTCATGAAGAGCCTG